AAAACAGAAATATCGGTTATGACTACCATAAACATACACATATACTATTTTATGACGCTTGTCAATATACATACATATTTAGTTGTTGTTGTTGCATATGCGCGAGTTTTCGTTTGCAGAGTGTGACCAAAACTGTTATTGTTGTTTTTATTTTTCTAGCTTTAAAATATAATATAAAAATATTTTTTGTTGTTGTTGCCTGCTTTCTATACAGCTTTCATGCAACGTAATTTCGTTAATTTTATGCAAAAGCAATATTATTTTTCCATTTCACGACAATTTCGTCTTTGCATGTAAAAATCACGATCACGACCAGACACGACAGTCGGATCTAAATAACCGAACGGATTTTTACCCGGCCAAGGACTGTCAACTCGACATCATTCCTCGAAAGTGCTACAGGAATGTTTTATGCCACTACAACAACAACTATTTCGTGCTACTGTCAATTTTGCAACAACAAATGCATATTACCCACCAAACTACATAGTACATGGTATATATATATATTAAGGTAATTAGTTGGTGATTTACAAACTAAAAGTAAATAACGATTAAATGTTTAATATTATATACATTGCTTAACCTAAAATATAGTAAATCTAATAGCTTAATTATTAAGTTAACGCAGTTTAATGCTAAATTACAATATTAATTTTAATTACATGTATTTATTATGGTACTTAACTACGTCTAAAAGGGTTGAGGGCTGAGGATAGGGGGAAAACTGTTTATATACTTCAGCTAGAGGTCAAAGGAGCACACTTTGACAGTTTAGTGCTTAAGGAGGAGTCACTAAAATCACAAAGGTGTGTGAGTGTGTGTGTCTAAAGATAACAAAATATTTGTTTTCACATTTTCCAAATTCAACAGTTGCTAAAGCGTTAAATTTAACAATAAAATTGAAACGCTTACGTGACATTACACAATATTAGTCAGCTAAGTGTGCTTGTAGGTATGTATAAGTATGCCGTAAAACTATTTTTCAAAGTTTAATTTTATTTTTTTTACAATTTCCAACAGTTGCTTTTTCTATTATTAACTTTATATAATTGTTTTTGTTTTCTTTTCTTTGTGATTTAACAATAAAATATTACCGCTTAACAATGAATAAATGCATTTTAATGAATTAACAAAAAATTAAAGAAGTTTCGGAATTCTTCGTTATTCGAAAAATACACATTTTATGTTAAAAACCAACATCAGCTACTTATACAACGGTATATACGACTAATGCAACTACTACAAACAATTACAATGCATTACAATTAGAATTAGATTAGAATTACCACTGCTTAATTACATTAATTACATAAAAAATAACGTAGTTTGAGGTTATGAGCTAAACACTACACGCAAATAACTAAAGTAATAATTTTAAACTATTTTTTAATATTTTTTTTTAACTTAAATATATTTACAACAGTTATTTCGCATATGTATGTGCGCTAAAGCGTTTTTTAGTTGAAACATAATTCAAAATTTTACTTAATATGTGCGCAATTACTACAACAATTTTCAGCCACAAAATACAAATTACATCTTTCAAAGCCCACTGTACACCAATCTACCATTTATATATGCTTATATAACGGATTTATACTTTTTGCACGCATAATTATACCCGGTCACTGCTGTTATGTACCTATTTATTGTTTGTGAGTTGCAAATGCATACTTTTATGTACATATGTGTGCCTGTTTATGTGCAGGTATGTCTGATTGGTTTAATGATTTCGTTTTGTTGCTGTTTTTTCGTACTGTTTATTTAATGTTTATGTAAAAAAGCGTAACTAAAAGCATATTTTCCCCCTTCACTGCATGTAACTGTGCCATAAATCCATATACGCTGCTACATATCTACTACTGTGTATATTATGTACTTTAGGTATATACACTTTTAGCACCTACTGACCCTACTAAATCGAAGTATATTAAGACTCACTGCACTTACAAATGTATATTTGCGCTTATACAGTTTTACATATATATATGCGTATGCATGTATTTATTGTATGTATGTATGTAGTTGTATGTATACGTGTGTAAGTAAGTGAAATCACAATCACAATATCTTTGCAAGACAAGAAACCAATAGTACCCTTTAATTGCGGTCAGAAAGTCAATAAAGTCACATAGAAAATTTAATTCTCAGTTGAAAATCAAAAGCATAAAATAAAAAATTAATTAATTATGTAATTATGTTCCTTTCGTTTTCCAGCGAGGATAAGTTCCATACGTTAGCCTAAGTTAAAAAAAAGTTATAAACCTATATATGTATGTATGTATATGTATTTGTATAGCAAAAAATTACAACAAATTTATGCCGTAAATTAAGTCGGAAGAAGCTTCATTTTCAAGGCTATAAGGGAATTAGGTAGGCATAAAAACTTCCTGTGCGTTGTCTTTCGGTTTTGAATTATTATTATAAATGAGTATATGCAATAAAATTCATACAAACGTCTTTAGTAGTAATGCTACACAGAAGTATTTTTCACAATTAGAAATGTAACTACTTTGGCTGGGGAAATTCCAGCTTTGCAGACAAACAAAAATAGACGATATTTAGTGCTTTTCGAATAAGTCTTTCATTAGAACTGTTATGCGTGTTTCTTTGATTAACCATCAGACGGTTTTGAGATTTATTTTTCCATAATGGATTGCCATATTTCTAACTTCCAATTAATTATTTCGCTCAGAGTTGCCATACTGCCGAAGAAGAATTGTATATTTCGCAAAAAGTTATTTTATTTTTACTATTCAGCTAAATTTAGCGCACAGAGTTGCCATATTTCTAACTTTCAATTAATTTTTTCACTCAGAGTTGCCATATTTTAAAGTATAATTATATAGTTAACAAATAGTTACATTAGTTTACGATTCAGCTAAATATAGCGCATAGAGTTGCCATATTTACAAAATACAACTAGATTTTGCGCAAATAACTGTAATTTTTTTAGTCCAAATTGATTTGAGCAACTATATAAGCAAATACCTGTAATTTGAGCACAACGTTGCCATATTTACAAAATACAACTAGATTTTGCGCAAATAACTGTAATTTTTTTAGTCCAAATTGATTTGAGCAACTATATAAGCAAATACCTGTAATTTGAGCACAACGTTGCCATATTTACAAAATACAAAATACAAAAATTTTGAGCCACTAACTGTAATTTTTTTTAAGCCTAAATAGATTTTGAGCACCTATGTAGTTGCCATAATTCCTAAATACAACTAAATTTTGAGCGAAAAATTCTACTATTTCTGACCATTTTGAGCATATGGTTGCCATATTTCTTAAGTTCCCCGTATTCCTAAAGACGCATGGATTTTGAGAACATATTTGGCAATTTCTAAAGTATAAAACAACTTTCCAATCGAATTTTTAGTAAAAAGTTGTCAGATTTCTAAAGAAGAATTTAGAGCATAGACTTTTATATATCGTGAATGCAATTTGATTTTGAGTTGAGTGTTTCGTCATATGGCTAAACTCAATTTCGATTTTGAGCAAGTGATTGCCGTATTTGTACATTCGATTTAAATTTTGAACAGAAAGTTGTCATATTGCTAAAGTGCAGTTATATTTTAATATATTTCTATAGTCCAACTTTAACTGCTTTAAGCAACTCTTCAACAATTTTCTAAAATAAAAATAGATTTTGAGCATAAAGTTGTCATAATTCAAAAAGAAAAGTACTACTACCTCCGTCAGACACCAAATATGACTAAATTTTGACACCACAGTGCTAGTACGAGTACAGGGTATTGGCGCTCGTAGTTGGGCAACTTTTACTCGAAACTCGTCAACATTCCAAATTATCAACTTGAAAGAATTTTTAAAACATAATGAGAGTATTCTTTTTTCTGCATCCAGCCAAAGTATAGCACATAAAAACTAATTATTTTAAGGAGAAAGTGTTTAGAACATATACAAAGGTATTTCCATTAAACTTATATGCGCCAACTTCTAGCCTTAACTTTTAAGGTTATGTATATATGTATGTAAGTAGTATGTATGTATATATAACTAAAGCCTTGTATATACCCGCATTTCTAAAGGATAAATATTTATAATTTACAGTATTTTTCGTCTGCTGTGTGTGTACATATGTATGTGCATGTAACTATTTACAAATTTATATTGCTCCATTAATAGTTGTGTGTGTGTGTGTGTGTTTAATCAGTCTATTATTTTCGTTTCCTTGTTTATTTTTACAAATTCAAGTGGCTTATACAAAATAATTCAAAAAAATTTAAAAAGTTTAGTACAAAGCGTTAACCTACTAACTTGCTAAGCTGGCTTATGGCTACTATATATAGTTATTTAACGGTAATATGTGTAAAACTACTTACTAATGCTTATAGTGGATGAAACTCTCTGCCAAATTTCAGCTTTGAACACATATGCATTTCAATATTGCCTATTTCGGTTTGTGCAACAACAATTTCTGCGAGCCACACAGCTTGATGCGACTCGAGAGCTTGTCAATTGGTGGTTTTTTAAGAGAAACTACTGGTTCTATAGCGATTTGTGTATAACTATTTATTTGTACTTGAAGTCTTTTTTAAAACAAAAACAAAAAAAAATAACCCAAAATTTTCAATTCATTTGCTGCTGAAAAATACCAAAGTATTTTAACGCTATTGTGTGTGTGCTTGTATTGGTTGGTGTATGTGTGTGTGTGAGTGTGTGTGTGTGAGTGTGTGTGTGTGTATGTGTTCATTCGCAATACTAATTCATTTAGTACATTTCCCCTTACATGCTAAATATATCATTCATTCAAATCCATATGAAAATTTTGGTTAACTTACTTACTTACTTCCTTACTTATAAAACTAAGTATAAATGTAGGTAAATAAACTGACAAGAGTTTGATTTTTCTTTATGCGTATCTATGTGTGTGTGTGCTTTTTTTTAGGTAGGTTGGCAGTATATGCATATAATGTATAATTATAATAATAATAATAGCATAAATAAGTAATATTTTACATGTTCATTCTTTTCTGCAAATAGAAAAAATTAAAAAAACATACATACATGTATATATGTATGTGTAGGTATATAAACTGCAACAACTGACTGCTTTCTTATTACTTAGTGAACAAATAGCGTTTACAATAGTATTTTAGCACCGCCGTCCGCCCTCACGATGCTAATGCATGCTAATCGCCTAAAGGTAGGCAACACTCGAAACCAACTCATATGGAGTTGAATAACAAATTTCTAGCTAATCTATTTTCTGCACACATTTTACGAACAAAATTTGGATTTCTGTAAACATACATTATATACGCATGTATGCGAGCATTTACTTTGCAGCGAAAGTAGTGCTTTTAAATTGTATACGGAGTTCCAAAAATATATATATATAAATTCCTGAGATAACGTGAAATTTCAAAAAAAAAAAAAAAAATTGTTTCAACATTCAAATTGCTTACTTTCACAGTTACTTTTGCTTTTTGAAAACGCGTGGCGTTACGCGAAGAATGCTGAATGCGGGTTGCGCTTCTAATTTTGTTTGTCCTTGTTCCTTTTTGCAAAATTTAAGCAAAAAATTATTTAAATTTACAATATTGCCGAGTTGCGCTCACATTGTATGCACATGTTGTTGCTGTTTTTGTTGATTCTGATGATGTTGTTGTTGTTGCTGCTGCTGGTGTGACTGCTCCGCTGACACTTGCTGCTGCTGCTGAGGATACGGCTCCACCGAGCTTACATACGACGGCAGATTCCGACTGTGCTCTTCGAAGATGATTTCCATTTTCTGTATGCATTCGAGCAGGCATCCCTGAAAAAGTGAGAATGATGAGTAAATGTGTTTTTGTGCCAGCGATTTGTACTTATTTATGTTATTAATAGTAGCGTGGTTGGTTAACTTGCTTAATTTGTAGTAACTTAAATTTAATTTAGCTGCTATACTTAAGAGCATTCTATTTTTTTTTTCTAACAATTGAGAATTAAAGTACTAATTAAAAGCTAAGAATTAATTGGCAAACAATTAAGCACTAATTAACTAGCAATTAAACACTATTATTTATTATTATTAGCACTAATAGTGACAATTAAGCACTAATTGAGTAACAATTAAGCACGAGTTAAGTGACAATTAAGTGCTCATTGACTGCTAATTAAGTACCAATTAATAGCTAAGAACTAATTGACAAACAATTAAGCACTAATTAATTGGGTACAAATTAAGTAGTAATTGTTTGGCAATTTGCCCGCTCATTGTGCTTTGACAAAGCGATAAAGCTTTGCTCTATGCGCTCTTGAAATGTTCCAAGCAGATCTGACGTTTCCGAGCCAAATTTCGTTCAACGTGGAATCCGATTTCTGGCTCAATGAAAATGTAGACAAGCAAAATTATCACATTTGGGCAAACTGAAGAGATTAAAGCGCTGTCATTTCATCCAGACAAACAACAGTTTGGCGTGGTTTGTGAGCTAGTGGTACCATCGTTCAAAATTTCTTCAAAAATGATTCCGGTGAAACATAACCGTCCATGGCGACCGTTAACGCGCCATGATAACCGATGTGATGCCTGACATTGAAGCTCGTGATCACGGGGACCTTTATTGAGAGCGCACTTCGGTGAGCAGATAATTTCACGTTTTGGCCGGTCGAGTGGCCACCAAGATCGTATGATTTTCTGTGGGTATATGTAAAGTCTAAAGTCAATGCGGACAATCCCGCAAAATTCAACACATCATACGTCACACACCAGTTACTAGTCGAAATGCAGGAACTGGTCATCGAAAAACTCATAAAACACAACGGATGGATCATCTGAGACGCAGCCGCAGCCGCAGTGAATATTTGAAGAAGTAATCTTCAAAAACTAAATGCCAAAGAATGATAATAAGCATTTCCTTTTAAATTTGAAGTTTCTGTGTTTTTTTTTTTTAAGTAGGGAATCTCGAAATTGATCACTCTTTATAAAAAAGTGCTTTACCCCTAAACAGCATGTGTATGTATTCTTGTCAGCAAATTTCGATACAAAAGTAAGTGCATACTCTAATTAGAAACATTGATAACTAAAGCGCCGTTTGTTTATATGTTCACTTGTATGTCCGTAAGTCTGTCCTCGCACTGACGCTTCGACAAAATGCCACTTTCTTGTTTTGGCACACAAGTATGCATGTCACTTCGAATATGATTCGCTCATTATCAAATAAAATTGCAGTGAAATAAAGCAAACATAAGCGAAATGAATAAAAGGTTACACACGCTTTGTCGCCTCAAAACAAAAGACAGCATTATTTCAAAAGCACCGCAATGCAGCCAAGTGTCCACAGTCGCACTCTCCAATACTGAACCTTAGGCTATGTACGCATTAAATGCATATAGTATGTATGTCTGTACATACAATCGCATCATTGTATGAGAAGGCAAATTTGAACGCCGGTGTGTGCGATTTAATGCGTTCTCCTGCCGCCCATTTGCTCATTTGCAAATTAATGGAACGCCGTAAAAATTAATTAACAGCATATAAATTGGAAACATAGGATATTTTCGAATCGAAGCAAGGCACGAATGTCACATGCGGTGTGCATACGATTAAACGCACCATTAAAATGCAATTAAATTTTGCTACAAAATCAACAAAAACCAAAACAACAAAACCATGTGAAGTAGCGCGAATCTGTTGTTGCTTCTATAATTTGTTTACAAATTTCTTCGGAAACGCCTTGATTGACTCACCTCTGGCATTGACAGCGGAAAATTATGCAACGCGAATCGTTTTGCAAGTCGAGGATTAGGCACCCTACAAGGGGTGACTTAACTTTTAATGGCGAGACAGTAATTTCTTTTAAATTTTTTTGCACAAAGTGTGATTACAGGCGTTCTTTTTATGATTTAAAAATCATTTAGAAAGAAATTATATAAAATTATATTTGAAAAACAAGAAATTGACGAATGTATAAATAAATGTAATTTGAACAATCCAATCCATGCGGTCAGAAACGATTCTCTAACATTTGGCTCAAGCAGCTCACGGCTTTCGGTCTAAGACCAAGTATCGTCTGAGTAGCCAAAAACCAAGCCAAAAACGAGCTAAAGTGAGAAATCAAATCGTCGGTCCCCAAGGCTGTGCACTGGTTTCGGGACCCGCCACGTAAAAAAGCACCTCCAATGAAAAGATCAAAACAAGCGGAAGAGTTACATCACCGCCGACTAGAAATGCGATGGATACAGGAGCGCACGGTCGATGTGGCGTTCGTGATGGGAAAAAGACTCCGTCGCCAACTACTGGCATTCAGATCGATGGATGAACGCCTAACCGCAATCCGGGTCAAAGCGAAGTTCTTCATCAAATCGCTGATTTGCGCCCACGTCATCAAGAAAAGCACGATGTGACTGAATAAGCCTTCTATGAGAGCCACAACAAAATCGTGCTGGGCGACTTTAACGCTATGGTGGGCAAAGGGGGTATCTTCGGCACAACGGTCGGTAAATTCAGCTTCCATGATGAAAAATATCCAAATGGATTGAGGCTCATCGAGGAACAACAAAGCGACGGGGACCGATGGATTGCCAGCAGGGCAATTGAAATACGGCGGCGAAGAACTGATAAGGAGCATGCATCATCAGTCGGCGCATTCTCGACTTGGCTCCCACGTCACTGTCATAACTTCGAGGTTCTAGATAATTCCGTCTATCCTGGAAATCCCAGGCAGAATAACTTATGCCAACAAGTGCTACTTCGGACTAAGTAGCAATTGAGAAGTAAAATCCGCTCTTAACGAAAAAAGACCAAATTCTACAAGTCACTCATCATTCCCGATTTTGAGAGAAAAGCTCTGCGGAAGATTTACGGTCCTTTGCGCATTGCCAACGAGGAATACTGCAGCTGATCGAACGATGAACTGTACGAGATATACAGCGTCATTAACATAGTTCAGCGAAATAAGAGATAGGCCATGTCGTCCGAGTGGATGAAAACACTCCAGCTCTGAGAGTATTCGAAGCAATACCCACCGAGGGAAACAGAGGAACCCCCACACTCCGTTGGAAAGACCAGGTGAGGATGGTCCTAGCTACGCTTGGAGTCTTGACGCCAAACAGTGAAAAGGAAGAACAACTGGCGCGCTGTTGTAAACTCGGCTTTAATCGCCTAAGCGGTGTCTACGCCAATAACGAAGAAGAAACCTACTTAAGCTATAATTTTATAATATAAATCACTTAATTTTGATAATGCACTTAAGAGTAAAATATTATATATATACTAACATAACCTTAATTAAATATCAACATACTAATTAAAGTTTTTAAAATTTATAATACAGTCTATAAACTGCTTACCGGTTCAATGCTAGTCAAATCGATTAATAAATCCAATAGATGACGAAAGTCTGGTCCGGAGCGTAAATACCAGTTCAAACCACTGAGGGCGGCGGCGATACTCGCAGCTGCAATGGTACTGGCCGAATACATAAAGAAATAATGTTCTAAAAGCAAACAAGAAAAATAAGAAATATTGTTGAAAATGTAAATAAAGTTGCTTAAATTTGGTTAGATTAATATGAGTACTTCTAATTAAATAATTTTTATCTAAATCAGTTGAAATATGGACACAATGAAGACAATGGAAGCAACGTGCTTATACGAGAAGCATTTAAAGAGGTTAGGTCAACGAGGGTGTAAGCGAACTGATCAACGCACGCAGTATCCACACAGTGCTCAATCATAAGACCGCGGATTAAAACACAAAAAAAAGCACGCATCAAATTAAGCAAATGCGGCATTTGAGTCAATTAAAAACTGATTAAGCGGAATGTAATGGTGTAGAAATGGTGGTGAAAGTGAAATTGAGCACACACAGAACACATTTCAAATCATACAACTAGCTATAAATCAGCTATATATATACCACATCCGTAGTTTTTCCATATCATTGAGTTAATTATGAAAATTTTCAGCGTGTGCCCTTGAGCCCTTCTCCCACCAAATAAACGAGTATTGATATGACCCTTAGAAAATGTGTACAAAATTCGCCTCAATTCCACGACATAGTCAACTCATTGGTTCATTTTCCAAGAACTCTTCGACCGTCGAGTACATGCACCACATAACGGTCTTAGCTGGCGCATAACCGTGCCTAACGAATTATCACCAAACAGCGAAATGGAACTCTGCTTGAGTGAATGCGCGCTACACAAACATTTCGCAGGCCGTTAGATGTTGCCCACATTTCCCAGATGGAATTCGCAACTGCCTAATACTCATGCCCCTGCCACATGCAACATGATTGGACAGTCACGCACAAATATTAGCTCAAAATGCAGCTGTGCAAAGTATCATCGACGTCCGCAGCGTACGCCCCCCCTCTGTTCTGGCACTGCCATCAAAGGCGTGTGTGTGTGCCTGTGCATGAATACGTACGTGTAATCGATGCGATTCGAATTAACCGTTCATCAATGGCGATGATATTGCCACGAAATTTATTATTAGCCGAGGTTATAAGATCGGCAGCTTGCGAATTACCATACAAACATACATACATATACGTATGTGTGCGTGTGTGTGTGCGTTGTGTAGCAGCAATGTAAGCATATTACAACACCAGCGCGAAAACTTCTGTTACAACAATAATAAGAACAATGTGAAACAACAGCCGCATCTGTTTTCTAGTCAAATGACGGAGTTTGAGAACTACTTCATTTGATCTGTGTAGCAATGGTGAGACCCTGAAGCCATAAACGCAACAAAAAACAAAAAAAAAAAAAAAGAAACGACAGAATCAACAACAACTGATTTGCAAAATGTGTGAAAGTATTTCAACATTTTAAATTCATTCACACATTCAATCATAACGCCGCACAGTGGGCCGTAGACATAAAAATTTAAGCAAAGTTTAAAAAAAGTTATGTTTTAGATACACATACATATATAACGTTTAGAAGGAAACGTCGGAGAATTTATAGATTATATATAATCAGCATTGGCCTATTTAGCCATGTCCGCCCATCTGTCTATATATACTGGAACCTATACTTTTTGAGTCATCGATTTGAAATGTTACACACGTGCTTTTCTTTACAGAAAGGTGTATCTTTCACAAAATCAACTATTTTGGACCACTATAGCATATAGCTGCCATACAAAATGAACGATCGAAATATAGTACTTGTATGGAAAGCCTTTTCATTTGACGAGATATCTTCACAAAATTGAGCATGGAATTTTTTCTATTACAATAAGGCAATTTGATAAGAAACCGTTCAGATCGAACCATTATTGCTTATAGCTGTGATATAAAGTGATCGATAAAATTCAATTCGTTGTATAAAATATATTTTTTTTTGACAATATATCTTCATGAAATTTGGTATAGATTATTGCTCAACTCAGCTCTTGTTATACAAAGAAATTATTCAGATCGGACCACTAGAGCAAATAGCTATCATGCGAAGCGACTTAAATATTTTATATATACACTTGTGCTCACACAATTAAGCCACATAAACGTTATGGTGTACAAATTCATAAAAGTTGAATTTTATTGATAAATCG